ATATTAATATATATGTCTACATATTTTTAATAATATATTCCATTGATTTTACTGTAATTTATTTAACACTTTCTTCTTGATACATAGGTAATTACCATCTTGATGCAATTGTAAAAAAAGTTATAATGAGCAATTTATTCATTTGCCCTATTTAATAATTTATTTACTTAAGTGTATATGTTACAGGTACAATTGTTAGGAAAAGTGCGTGTAGTTTCTATTTTGATACACGCACATCAACTATATTGCCGAAAATGAGTTCGAGACTAGCAAAAAGTACACCAATTTACTTTCATATTAGCAGTTCATAAAGGGCAATGGCCATAAGTAAACAGCATCTGCAGACTCTTGTGAGTCTTATGCTGCTCTTTTACTTTATTCTGAAATAATATTTTTAAATATTCTTAGTTTCACACTGAGTTTAAAATTTAATCCTTTGTTTAATAAACATGCAAGGCTCCTTGTTTATGATGATGACAGTAATAATAAAAATAATAATAGTAATAACAAGTACCAACAGTAGTATTAGAAGTAGAAGGAGCAGGATCAGGAGGTACAGAAATAGCACCAGTAATATAAAAATTCTTCTGAATTTAAACAATGCCACCATTAGTTATTGCAAGCTCTTGGCAATCAGTGCTAGCCTATTGCAGTAGGAACTCTCTTAAATATTTATAAACAAGTCTTGTCTATGCATTAAAAATTATTGAGCACTTGTATGGATTGCTGAACATCTATTGAATAACAAGCAGGCAAAGAATAAGCAAATTATTTTCTAAAAAAAAGCATATGCAAAAGACAATGGACAGAAAAGTCTCTTTAGTATCTCTCCTAACCTTTCAACTCTATTTTCACTTAAATCTTTGAATGTATCGTACTGCATGCCAAAAATGTATATTGCTTAATAATTATAGCAACTGTAATGGCCAAAATTTTTGTCTTTAAGATTATGATCTTTCTTTTTTTCTCTTCAGTATGCCCAGAACACTGTAATCACTGAATAAATAATAGTAATAATGCTTTACAAATGGAAACTTTTTTCAGGTTAAGAATGTATTACTACATTATTTCAATTTTATTTCTCTTGCATGCAATATTTGCATGACAATTAAAAATGTAAATAATTTCAACAAAGTAGAATGGCAGTTTGTTCACTTTTAGATTTTATAGAGAAATCAAATAATTTAGAAATACAAATAGAATAAAGCATGTGGAAAAGTAATATATATATATAATATATAGCATAAAATATATGTTATATATAATTCTGTAAATTACTCTGGGTTCTGTTTGGTAGATAGTGAACCAATTTAAAATGCACAAAAATGGTTCAATATCTACTAAACAGAATCCAGAGTAGTTTATAGAATTAAAAAATCAGTAGGACCTATTTGTGGAGCATAAAGTCCTAAATAATTCAGATTTGACTTAATAGAATTTCTGTTCGGGCATGCTTATAAATCTTATATTGTAACAAAACTTTGAAGACTAAAATCAATTATTTTATTCAGTATTTTCCACTTTTATAAAATATTTGAGTAAATATATATATACTCTGTTAAATATAGAATAAAATAATAAACACAAGGTCTTATATTAATGTACACATTTAAAAAACTCTGTTGTTCTCTAATAAAGCAAATGCTGCATTTTATTTCATTTTGACTCCTGTTATAGATGCTTTATACCATGATATTGACTTTGGCTGTGAGCAGTGCTCCTAGTAGAATTGATTTATGATACACTCCGTTGCTATCTAGACAGTTTCCAGCAAAGTGACAAAGAAGTTCTGCTTCCATACCCATGTAATCAATGGAAAGCAAAGCGAGACCAGACAAAACAAAACCCTTAACACAAGGTGACTAGATACTAAATGTCATGTTGCGTGTACTGTGTGTGAAAATAAATAGTGGACACATATACCTTGTTAACTGGCATCGTTATGTGCTTCCCAAAAGACCAATTTATACCTGGTACAGAGACTATATAAACCGTTGTTGCATTAAATGGTTTGTTAAAAAAGTAATCGAACATCCATACATTTTATGTAAAAGTTAATATCGTTGCTTATATTTTTTTATTTGTGAGGATATAAGTATTCAACAATTTGATTTATATAATATTATTTTGCCAAATTGAAAAAGACCATAAGTGCTCTTGAGGCAATTGCTGATCCTTATAATATATTGCAGATTAAATAAATCTATTATTTCTGATTCTATTCTTACCCCACCTTCAAATTATATTCATATACACCTAACTGCATTTATTCTGAAGTATAATAAAAATCACAATGCATAGAACATAATGACAGAAAAATGTTATATATTATCTTTATATTCTTAAATACTAGATATTGTAGTGCATTGTGTTTAGAACATAAAACCTATGGGGTGGGGCCAAATAAATGACAAGGAGTGAAGGACAGATAGGGTGAGGACAGATTTTAATGGGTCTTGTATGCCACAATGACCTCTAAGGGAGATTAATTAATTAAAAAGAAAATATGTGATTTATTTGTATTTAAAAAAAAAAATGTTTGAGGACAGTGTGAAGAGGAACAAGAATGGAAAGAGGATGGATAGAGAGAAGACTACTATTGTAGTGTAGAGGTTATTAGAAAGACTCTGGGTTATATAGAGAACAAAGAAGAAGGCACAGATTTGTGAGGTGTTTTGAAGAGAATTTTTAAAACTTGATTAATAATAAAACATGGAATGTAAAATTAAAAAAAATGAGCTGAGTGTTTCTAAGATTTCTAGCTCAAGTATATAAGTAGATTGAAATGTCATTGATTAGGATAGGGAATGAAATAGGAAGAACATCAGGCAGGTGGGTAAAGACTAAGATGTATTCAATCATGTTTCTTGATTTCTAAGTGAATGCAGTTATCTCTGTAGAAATATCAAATAAACCCTCACCGTGACACTATCCCTGATAGGATACAAACAGGTATCATCATGGCAGTTTGATTACATTAGAACTCACAGGGATAGACTCACTCACATTTTGGATAGAGATTTGCCTTTTTTTGCATGTAGCATTTGTAACAGTACTATTACTCAGATTTATAGAATATTGTATTCGTCACCACATAACAATGTCTACCAGGAGAGTTATAGCAAGGGAAGTATGAGAGTATACTTCTTGTATACAGTTCACTGGTCTTATAATATTCCACTAATGAGAAGCCTAATTGTCTCATGCATAATAGCTAGGAGTTACCTAAAAGTTATTTTGAAAATACATAAGTAGGATTAGAAAGAATAATAATGATGGAAGTGATAGAGGGATTAGGATGAAGCTATTATAAAATAGCATATATATAAAGATAGCTATCAGAATAAGTAGGTGAACTTTCTCCTAAAAATGAGAACTATTATAAAAAGATAAATAAAATACATTTTAAGATATACATACATAAATGATTAATATACCATAAAGTATTATCATAGGACTAAGATCAAACATATCTATCAATAATTTTCTGATAGGAAAAAGGGTTGCCTATGAGATGCTTACCTAAAAGCAGTAATTCTGAAAAATTAAAAATAAAAGGATAAACAAATATGTACTAAGTTAGTGCAGACATGTACATGCTAATACATGCACTCACTTATTCACTGAAGCATTTTTTTATAAAAGGAAAAGATGGAAAATAATCAAAATGTTTGTAACAGGAAATTAGTTGAATAAATCATAGTAAGAGTGTCCACATACCAGAATTATATAAAGAGGAAACAATCATCTCTATGTAACAGAGAAAAAAAAAGATGGGAAAAAATGTATATGCTTGCCTAGTGTAAGAAATGGGAGTTAATAAGAATAATATATATTTGCAATTTGCTTCTATTTGCATAAAATATAGAAAAGAATATAAATAAAATTACTAAAAATGGTAATACATAGGGTGCAGGAGGACATGATAGATGAACAGAGCCACAGGAGAGAGATTTACCTATAAAAATTTTTTTGTTATGTTTTGAACCATGTAAAAATATTTCATTAAAATTAAATTACAGACAAATGCTATTTGAGGAGAATTCTATATAATACTTGACAGTACTAAAAATGGTCAACATCATCCCAAACAAGAAATGGCTATGAAACTGACATAACTAAGAGGACTCCAGGGAGACATGAGGACTAAAAGTAATGTGGCATCCTAGTTGAGATCTTGGAACAAGAAAAGGACATTATGTAAAAACTAAGTAAATTAAATAAAGTATGGGCTTTATTTAATAACAAGGCATTAATAATGGTTCATTAATTTTAACAAATGTGCCATACTTATGTAAGATGTCAATATTAGGGAAACTGCCTGTGAGGTATTTGGGAACTCTCTGTACTATCTTCACAACTTTTTCTGTCACTAAAAAACTTAAAAGAAAAATGAAGTTTATTAAAAATTAACTTACATTTAAAAATGTCTGAATACTCTATTCTACAAAACCACTGGTGTTATGGACTGAATTGTGCCCTTCACCATGTTCATATCCTCAAGCCTTAACCCCCAATGTGACTATATTTGGAGATAAGGCTTTTAAAAAGGTAATTAAATTTAAATGAGATCTTACTGGTAGGCCCAAATCCAATAGGACTGGTGTCCTTATAGAAGAGAGAGACATCAGGGATGCTCTTGCAGAGAAACAGCCTTGTAAGGTCACAGAAAGAAGGCAGGTGCTTGCAAGTCAAGGAGAGAGGCCTGGGGAGAAATCAGCTTTGCCAGCACCTCGATCTTGAACTTCCAGCCTCCAGAACTGTGAGAAAGTAGATTTCTACTGTTACAGCCACCCAATTTGTGGTATTTTGCTACAGCAGCCATAGCACAACTCTATATAAACTGTAGTTGAGAGAACTGCACTCTGTAATACAAATAAAACAGTAAAAATAGTAGCATAGTAAAATTTTACTTTTTTTTTGAAGGGGTTAATAATTATGAATATTGAAACAAGGCGGATCCAATGGTTTATCATTCTACTCTTCAAACATAACGGGGACAGGCAGATCACCACTCTTAGGCATCCTGCAAAGTAAGCAGATCACCTTAAGGGCAACCTTTATCCGCTCAAAAATGCTTCTCCAATTGGCAGTAAGGATTCGGGCGTCATCCCAAATCGTTATTTTCCTTACTCATAAGTTTAAGGCATGGTAAAATTCCACTTTTGTTTGTTTAACTTCAAAATCAAATGAGTTTTACTTCCAAACGTTACTCTGATATTCTATAAATATTCCTCCTATTTCTTCTTTCAGCTGTCAAAAAAAAACATGTCAAACATATGTCATTATAGCAGTAATGCTGCTTTAGAGAAAAGTGAAATATTACATTTTATAGCAAAAAGTGCTGGTTAATCATTTCTATTTTGTTTTTATAAATGAGCCATATGTATAAAGGATTTTCTTATATTTGTGTTACTTCTATGGAAAAATTGTTTATTAGTGTTGTTCTATTTTTGAGATTCTTTGCTACATTTTAATTTAAACTTATAGGCATGTTATTCCATACGGTATGACTCTTATGTAAAAGAAAGATATATTATGTACATCTTGTATAATGCCCAGAGTTTAATTACCTAGTACTATATTCATGGAAAAAAAAAATAAGAAAATAAGGTTGATATAAAAGAACTACCTTAAATTAATTCAAAATGTGAGGTTTTGCTTTTAAGTTAAACATTTAAAAATTAAACATATAAATTGAACTATCATCCCCCTCCCCCCCAAAAAAAAAACTGTATTAAAATTCAGTAAATTTTATCACTGGAAATTATAACAGGATTTGAATTAGCTCCCTATTTTTATTTTTTATTTTTTAACAACACTTTGCATTAATATCATGAAGTTTATTTCTATTTTTTTCTTTGTTTAAAAAATCTTCCTCTGTCAATCCTTGGTTTTGTTGAATATTTTGTCATATTTTATTGGTTTAGTAATTTGCTCTATCTATCTATCTATCTATCATCTATCTATGTATTTATCTATCTATACATCCATCCATCCATCTAGTGGTTACTCTAGGATTCAGAAATTCACATTTTAACCTACAAGTGTTCACAATACAACTTCAAATGATATTATACCCATCCACCTATAGTGTAAGAAACTTACAATCGTATATTACTATCACCCCTTCCCCAGCTTGTGTGCCATTATTGCCAGTCATTTTACCTTCATATGTGTTATAAACTATAAAATGCATTATATTCATTATTTTCAATTCACTTTTAAGTGTTCAAAAACAAGAAAAGGTATTTTGTATTTAATTATGCAATTACTATTTTCAGTGCTTGTCATTCACTTCTGTAAACTCAAATTTCTCTTGAGTATCATTTCCTTCTCTCTGAAGGACTTCCTTTAACATTTTTATAATGCTAGTCTGCTGACAATGGATTCTATCCACTTTTTATGTCAAAAAATAATCTTTATTTTGCCTTTTGTAAAAAAGATATTTTCTTTTGGTACAGAATCCTGATTTAATGTCTGCTGTTTTCTGTGAATAAATACAACTTTTTTTCTTTCAATACTTATAAAGATATATGCATATTTAATGAATAACTATGTTAATAAAACTATTTGGTATATTTATACTACTGTGGAATAACTAAATTTTTCAATTATTTTGTTCTAGGTATTATAATATCTATTGTGTTGTGTCAGAGGAGAGGCAATAAACATAGAAGGTAAGTGGTGATACATGTAAAAAAGAAAAAGAAAATATGGGTAAAGTGATGGAGTGATTGGGCATGAGAGTATAAAGGAGTAAACTGGAGAATACCAGGTCTCTCAAAACATAGAAGGTATGGAGTGGGAGAGGGTTATTCCAGTTGATTTTCATAAATCTGCTATACTTATGCCTTAAATTGTAAGTTAAACTAAAAAAAATGTGGATTTGATTCATAGAGTAAAAATATGAAGGGAGTGTATCAACTATATAAGTGTTCATTTGTTTTTTATGTTAATAAAGCCCAATCTTAAAACATGAAATACTGTACTTTTCTCTATTTTTTAATAACATTTTAATTGCACAGATTGTGAAGAGGCACTAATTCAGCACTTATTTTTTATTATAAAGTATAGATTAATCATATTCAGTAATTAAAATATTTACATCACTCCTCTTTAATATTTTTAATTTTTAAAAAAGATTTATTTTCTCTCTAACTTTTTATAACTACCATAAGGAAAAAATATATTTTAATTTGATAAATCATTGTTAGTTGTGAGCAAGTATGTTATGCTGATGATTGGGCTGCCTTCGTGGTTAGGCTCTGGAGATGATTAGACATCAAATTGAAACCTAGTAGGAGTCAACTAAAACATACTCCAAAATTGCTGGCTTGCTATACTCATTTCGTGTTTAGATAAGGGAACAAAGTATATTTCTTCTCTAGGAGTAAGCCTGTGAATATTATTTATTTTTTAAAAAATTGTCATTGTCTTTAGAAAGGAAAAAAAAATCATGGTAAAATTATGCAGAAACTTTCAATACCATGATAATTTTATAGAATTTTTAATTTTATCTTCAGATTAGGGACTGCAAAACTACCACTGACATGGCACTTTTAAAGAAAATTAAACAACAAAACTTCTGGAAACTAAATGCTCATTCAAATTAAACAATTAAGTATACAGTATACATACACATAAATAGATGTAAAATATATGTAATATATAAGTGCATAAAATAATTTTATGCTATATGATTCAATAATATAAAAATTATATACATTATATAATGTGTATGTGTATATGGAGGTTTCTAAATATATGCCTATGTATATATACAGATGTATATTTTTTCACTGTCAATCTATGACATTTTTTCTTTATGCATTTGTGTAAATTGCAGAATGTCAACGATAGCAAATTTTTGCAAATTCTTGAATTAGAATGGATCCAGAGTCACCTCCACAAAAACCAATAAACTGACAAGGGCTCAACTTAAAATACACTGCTTGGAAACTAGGCAAAAGTATATATTGAAATTTCCAAATCTAAGTATGCCACACTTGACAGTGAACCAGACTCTCTCTAACATGCCTTCTGGAAAGAGAAAAAAATTGTAACTTAAGTACTTTTCTGTAATAGTCAGCTGTAGTAGTTTTCTATTGCTGTGTAACAAATTATTATTTCACAGTTCTTATGGAATAGGTGTCTGAATGTAGGGATATTTGGGTTCTCTGCTCAGTATCCTGTCAGGCTAAAATCTAAATATTTGAGGGCTATGATCTCTTCTAAAACAAAGTACCGTGCTGGTATATTACAAAGTATTTGCCTGCAATGTCTCTAAGAAGATAGAACAAAATAATTAAAATACAAATATTTATAAACTAATGCCAGACAAATTCCAGAAGGATAACATTCATTAAAACTTATAGCTAGTTTCTAAATAAATGACAAATTAAATATAATAGTGATGGTTATCTAAAATATGTGAGTCTGTACCTTGCCAAAATGAGAACATATGGATTTTTAAAAAGTGATTTGATTATCTAACTTTGATTTTTATATAAACAGTTAAAGAACCACTAGCTTTTTAAAAAGAGATTATTTTCTGCAGACATTTTGAATTTTTTTTTTCCTCTTAAGTATCCAATGACAATTAGCAATAGGTCCTATCTTAATATTTGGTTCCCAAGATGTCTTATTTAACTTATGTGATTATACGTCCTTATTTTTAAAATGCACGTTAACTAAACAATATCAAAAAACAAAAGAAGGCAAGAAAAATGTTGTAGAATGTAAACAACATGAAAAAAATAGCCCAGATAATTAAAATGTAACTGTAAGCAATCCTAGGTTGATGTTTGATGTATGTTCACAGTCAATGAAAATCTTTATCTCATTTAAATTATGTTTAGAAAATCAAGAAAATTATATAAAATGATATTCATGTTTATAAACTACTCATTTTATAAAGAAGTAGTAAGATAAAAAATACATAGTACAAAAAATACATGTTTTTTTTTTAATTTTGAGTTTCCTAGAGTCATAACAAATATACATCAAATACCTCTGTACAAATTTGCTATATCTAAATATCAATTGTCATTTTTAAATGCTCAGCATTATTTATGCTCATTTTAACATGTGTTTTGTGTATGTATATCTTTCATAATATTAAATTTCATTTATTTAATTTGGAAAAAAATATAGCCAGATTTCTTATGCAAAAACTAAAATTTAACTTGTTTGTTATCTTTATTATCACTTTGTTTGTCTCAATGTTTTCATTAAATTATCTCTTCATCATATTGAATCTTCCTACATATTTACTGACATCTTTTCAGTCGCTAATATTCTATATTATATAGCCAGGTTCATTAATTTGGTGGTGAAATAATACTAAATTTGCTTATCCACATGACTTTATTTTTATTATTTCAAGGTATTTTACTTTCTTCTTTGTTATCTCCCCTCAGAGAACAAGTAGAAGAACTGTCTACTAAATTCTCTGATTTTCTATAAAATGCCTGTTCCTAAAAAATAACTATTTAAGCCTTTTTTAAGCTATAGTAGCAATACTTTTGACAGTTCTAGGTTAATGTAACCTCAGAGAGTTTGGGTGGAACAAGAGTTCAACTAGGAAGAAACTTATTTCTTTTCTCCAATATTTGTTCAACTGTAAGACCTAGCTAATTAAATGTAGTTCATCTCTAATGAGACCATTTTGCTAACTTCCTCTACTCAGCCAGCAATTTCTTTCTAGTATTAATCTGAGAACTGCATGTTTTTCCTTCCACTAAAGCTATCTTGATACAATACTCCTTGCAAAAACAATTTATAATCACAAGTATTTTAGATCTAGAAACTAGAAATAGATAGTAATAATGAATTTGCAAAGTTATGAAAAATAATTTTCCAGTTTGATTTAGGTAAAGATTTAAGAAATTATAACAGATTGATATATTTTTAGCATAGAGAAAATAAAAAGTATAATGAACGAAAACATAATCTCCTTAATACATATATAATTCTCTTTTTAAATTTATTAATGATTTTCTTTGAAATTATTTTCTACAGTTAAATGACCCAAAGAATAGTGAAGAATTGTTGAATCGTGACTCAAGAAACTGGTATAAAATGACAGAACTAATTCCACTTATTGGTGCCCTCCAAAATATTGGAACATAGTATGCAACCAAGATAA